GCCTGCAAGGGCACTGTCTAGTTCTAGACTCCATTATCTTGTATGAGCTGAGTGGTAGACCAGCTAGGCCTTTCTTCGACGGCTTAGGAAAAGAACTTCACCACTCATGCGAGTATGTTTATAGTTGTGACCATTGTCATAGTCAACAAGGTTGAAAATTCCAGAAAAAAAGTTCGAATTGGGAGGGCGATGCCCCCGGTGAACTGACCGTACCCCAAACCGGGGCCCTGCTAAACAAGGCTCCTTTCAAGTCAAACAGAGATTACCAGTTCCGGAGGGACCAACCATTGTACTTCTAGGGACCAAGCCCAAGTTGATCCCCATCTCCATCTTCTTTCGCATCTGTTGAATCTGCTTTCCCAGTTGGTCTGATCCGAACGTATATTGTTGAATGAATTGGTCGAGTAGGAGAAGCAAAATGAAATTAGGATTTGGCCGAAGCACTCTATATGACTAGCTAGGGTTACCAGAGAAGATGGGACAACTTTGATTGAAAGTAGCAAGCCACCTACTACTGGTACAGAGGCCAGATAAAAGGTTGCTTGGGCTGTGTCCAGGTCTAGCGTCGAGGCCGAGTATAAAGCTCTTGTCGTCACAATCATATAAGTAAAGAGACCTATTCATTGATAAGAAAATGAAAAAAGGTGAACGAAGCGTCACGGGGTGGTGGCCGTGCTTATTTGAGAAACTTGTCGCTTCCTTCTCCACTTCTTCTCGGGCCCACATCAATTCCTTTAAGTTTCGGTCTTGCGATTGTAGTCCCCAGGCGGAGTGTTTCACGGGAAGCGTTCCAAGTCCTATGTCCCCTTCCCAGCATGCGCACGCAAGAAAAAAAATGACACCCCAGCTCGACTCGAAACCAAGACTCCTTACAACTCGCACCAATAGCGACACTGAGCAGCCGACTTCCAACGCATATAGGTGACTAACCGCCTGTTATCTCAGAAAGTAGAATCCCAGATTGAGCCACGGCCAATTTAATTCTTTTAACTAACTGAGGAAGAATTTGCAAATTGATAAAACTCAGTGGGCGAATTTTCCATCTCCAAGGAAAACCACTCAGATCCCTTATCAAAAAAATAACCAATTCTCCTCTTGGAGCTTCAACTCTCACATAAAGGTTTCGGCAATTCAAATGTAGGAGAGGGTTCACTCACAGGTCAGGGGCTAGTACAACAAACATGGGAAAAAATTCCCACAAAGCAAGTGGGAAATCAAAAGGACCAGCGAATTAAAGACTTTTCGTAAGCATAAAACTCATGTATGGTCTAGAATTAGGTCAATTACGTTTATTAGAAGTGGACAATAGAGTGGTTGTACCAGCCAAAACTCATCTACGCATTATTGTAACATTTGTTGATGTACTTCATAGTTGTGTTGTACCTTCGGAACAATGGGTGAAAGCCCGATAAAGAACGGGTCGTATTGATGACAAATTTTGGATATGTCAACCCTAGTATGAAAATATTTAGTCATTTAGATAGTGACTGGCTTTTAGGTATGATCTAATGCCTCGGAAAAATCACCCGAGGAAAATCTTTTGTATCGTTTTCCTCATAGAGATGTGGGTAGAGGAAGCCTCAAAAAGCGAAGGCCGAACTGTAAATCACGTGACATGCACCAAGTTGGTGGCGGACTGGGCTTTTTCCTTGATCAAAGTATATCAGCTCGCCTTCTTATTATCCAAAAGTCGATCGAATCGGGCAGGCACCTGCCCTGGAACCACTAATGTCGTACGTCTCTTTCATTGTGGTTCCTTGGCCCTGCTAACCATTTGCTTGCTCGAACTGTATAGATTCAAATAGGGGGCAAGCTAAACAAGCAAGAAAGCCTTCTAAGTTATAGAGTCGGAGGTCAGAAAGAACTTGGAGGTTTCCTTGTGACTAACTTAGCGCACTTCTGGTGGTAGCGTGGCGGGGTAAGCAAAGTTGACCAGCTCGGTAATTGGTGGCCCTTTCCTACCCTGTTCTACCCGGTTTTTAAAGGAAAGGCTTGGCCTACGTGGGGTTATTTCAAGTAAGTAGCAAGATTATCCCTTTAGGTTAGGACCAACTACAACAAGCTCGCAACTCTAATAGAAAGAAACGGGTTCACTAGAGCTTATTATAAAGCGATACCCAGAAACGAGAGAATCTGTCTGTCTTTATAGTGCGGATGGACTTACTTTTCTCGTGAAAGACAAGGTCTGAGTTCACTTTTTATCGAGCCTACTCCTTCTTACCTCTTACGCATTTAAGAGGAATTGAGAAGTCCGCCTAGTGCTTCATGAATTCAGAGTCGACTTGACAAGCTAAAGGCAGAAAGAGCACTATTGACTATGATACACGATGGGCGGTACAACAATTAACTAGGTTTCTAAACTACAAAAAATAGTTGCTCTTTTCACTACTAAATGCCAGAGTATCTCGCCATAACTGGAACTAGCAAAGAGATGGTATCGTTGTAGTCATTCTTAGATGAATCGGCTTACAAATATAAAAAGAGAGTGTCACTTTGTGACAGCTAGAGTGCTATTCACTTACCGAAGAATCTTTTTTCATGTTAGGACAAAATACATATAAGTTTGGTATCACTTCATCCGATCAACTTTGCGAGATGGAGTCTTAGCGCTTCAGAAGATTCATGGAAGTTGAAATCCAGCTGATATGTAACCGAATATTGTTCCAACTAAAAAACAGAAGTTGTGCACAACTTCAGTTGGAGTTCTTTCTTGAGGTTGAGGAGTTAATTAAGACTACTGTAGGGAGAAGCCGTTGATGGTGGATTAGTTCTCTAAGTGGGAGATTGTCCAATTATGCAGCATGATTATGCGCTGGCGATTACCTCTATAACCTTGTGTCGTTTTTTACTTGATTCCTTTTCAGTGGTTTTTATTGCTCTCAATAGTATATAGAGTTAGGATGTCTAATTCTCAATAATATAACCTTGTGTCGTTTTTTACTTGATTCCAAACACTAGGGTGTCATCTCTTAACAGACTTACAAGTTGGAGAGGTGGTGGAATATTCCAATAAGCTATGCTGTCCACTCTTTTTCCTCGCATATGCTTCCAATTCTTTTCTACTTTTGTTACGTCCTTTTCCTATTCCTCCTTTTTTGTACATCATCTAAATATACAGTGTATCAATCCAAATGACCAAATAAAAAGAGGTCACATTCTTATTACTTGGCTTACTTGCACGCCAACGTTCTTAAATATTTACCGCTTAACCTTCACCAGAATCACTACCTCACCAGCAATATATTTACACTTCAACATTTTTAGAGTTCAAACATGGAAATTAAGCTAAACATTCCTAATTATCTCTACTCTTATTTTCCTTTCTATTGTATAATCTACTTACGTTCTGTTAAATAAGTGCCTCAAATTAGTTTTTACACACTTAATAAATTTTTGTGTTGATTGTATTATATACTTCAGAATGTTGAGTGTTTGTTGAGTTGTAGGGAGTTTTAGGTAGAGAGAGAAAGTAAGTTAAGTATGTAATTCTGAAATCGTTAGTGATGTTTTTCTCCTTCCGTGAACGTAGAAAATTTTTTCAAACTTAAATTTTTATCTTTTCTATTTTTCTGTTATTTTTATTTTAATTTTTTCTTTATTTTTTTGTTATTTTTATTTCAATTTTTTTTTTATTTTTCTGTTATTTTTATTTCATTTTTTTTTGCTGTGTAAGTGTAAGGATGCGTTTTTCTCCACATGTTCTACAAGTAATCATCAAAGCCTATCTAAAAATTTAAAAAAAAAATTGTGGATTATGATTATAGTACGATTAAGGTAAACCACTTGTGCTATTAATCTCTAGATTTTTATGTTCAATATCTCTTGTAAAATCTTCGACAGACAAGTGATCTTACAACCTTGTCTCTTGCTAGCTAACTTATTTCTGTTAACCACTTAACCTGTCAAACTAATCACATGGATTAAAATTGCATTAACCTTGAAATTCACAACTAACTTGCAGTTACAAAAGCAACTAAAGGCCTCGTATGAGAGAAGAGAGGGAGAGAGAGTCCTACATGGCACTGGTTAAGTAACTGACAATAAAGAAAAGTCAGAACTGATAAATAAAACAAAATAAAATAATAGCATGAACGTAGGCAACCAAAAAAAATTTATTAAATTCATCACAGAGCAAAAGACACGTGTTTTAGGGGGTTTTCTGTTGCACTTCATAAATGTTGCCGGCACGAACCCCGGAGAAAACTAATAAAATTTTTGCCGAGAAAATCCAAGAAAAGAAACAAGAAATCCACCAAAAATGACATTAAACACACACACAAACACACGCACATCTATATATATATATATATATGAAACTCGAATTATCTACATTAAAATTATAAAAAAAAAATAACAAACAACCAAAAAAAGAGGGAAAATAACATGAAATACGAAGTATATGTACTTATATATATATATATATATATTGGTATTAATGTGCCATAAAGTCATCACAATATAAAAAGTTAAAGCACACCACATGTGCTTCCAAAAAGGAGGGAGAAAAAGGTTAAAAAAAGAATATCTATGATACACTCATCGGAAACATGAAAAGATCTATGGACTGAAATGGTAAAGAGGGTTACGACATATCTACTTATGGAAAAAAAACCATGAAATTACAAGAAAGATATAGACTTCTGACACTAATCCGATACCTAGAAATCAGATAATAACAAAGAATCTCACCTAAAAAATTCCTAAATCAATTTCAAAATGAGAGAGAGAGAGAGAGAGAGAATCGGAAGGAGATCAGAATCGGAAGGAAGAATTAAGAGCAAGAAGGCGCCGAGAAAACGAGAGGAAATTGAGGAAGAGAAAGAGGAAAAGCCGTACGACATCGGTGTACGCAGATTAGGAAAAAGGAAAACTCGGTCGTCGTACTTCGATCGATTCTTCCATTTTCGATCGGTGAAACAGAAGAAAAGCATAAATTAAGAGCGAGAGACAGAGAGAGAGTAAGAGAGAGAAAGTAGAGAGAAGAAGAAGAAGAGACATACTCATTACGTCGGGAGAAGTGGTAGAGCTTGCCGCGGCTGGAGAAGACGAGGAGAGCGACGTCGACGTCGCATAGAACAGAGAGCTCGCGAGCCTTCTTGATGAGTCCGTTGCGGCGCTTAGAGAAGGTCACTTGGCGGCTGCTCTTGTCCTCGATTCGCTTCAGCTCCACCTTCTTCCTCCCCATTTTCAGCCCTAATTCTCTCTCTAGTTTCTCTCTCCTCTTTTTCCTTTTTTGATAATTCCTCTCTCCTCCTTTTCTTTTGTCTGTGGTGCTACTCTCCCTCTCTGTAAGCGAAAACTGATTCCGAATCGAATCGATACGTATGAGTGAGAGAGCAGTGAGCTCATGAGTCAGTCAATCGGGTGGAATCAAGTTGACACGTGGTTTTTTCACAAACATCCTTTTCTTTGCGGCTCCTAATTAATTAAAACTTCTTTCTTTTTGCTTTCTTCTCCTCTTCCTAATTATTATATTACTTTTCTTTTTTGACTTTTCTATTTTGTCACCTATTTTTAACTTATGTGTTATTTAGTTAGAAGATTCGTACCTCAATTTAAATCATAGTTCGTAGTTTGTTATAGTATTTTTTCTTATAAAAAATACACGTAAATTAAAAATAGTTCTAATATCATGATTTTAATCTATGAACCAAACGTCTCCTTAGTACTTTTTCTAAAAAAGTTTTTCAGTTCCATTTAAATAAAAAAAAGAATTTTTAAACTGTTTTTTTATTGATTCGAGTTTTATTACAGTAAAATTTTTTTAGAAAGAATCACATTGAATTTTTTTGCTACAATAAGAGCTTATTTAGTTCGCTGATTCGAGTTAAAATGTGACTTTATGTGAGAGCTTTTTACTGTAGCTAAAAAGTTATATGTGACTGTTTCTGAGAGCTTTTTACCGTAACAAAACTCGAATTCTAAACTCGAATCAGTGAAATGAACAGTGCCTAAAAAGCTCTAACATAAAGTTAAATCTTAACTCAAATTAAAAACTCGAATTAACAAACTAAATGGAGAGCAAATTTCAATAACTTTCAATTATAATTTCTAATGACATTCTTCTTATTTATTATTAAAATCAAAATTCACGAACTAAAAGCTCTCAATAATATTTTGACACTCTTTATGTATAATGACGAATAAAGATTAAAGTCTCTTTTATTTCAGTTATTTGAGTTTGCAGTACTAAGTTTTTACAGTAAAAAACTCTCAATAAATATCACATTTAACTTTTTCTATTACATTACAAAGCTCTTAGAAAATGTCACATCTCAGCTCGAATTAAAAACTTGAATCCGCGAAGTGAACGAGGCGACGCCTAAAGTTTCATTCATTTTATCGATTCGAATTTTTAGTTTTAAATTTTTATAATTAAAATTTTTTAAAAAAATATCACATTTAACTTTTTTTATTATAATTAAAAACTCTTAAAAAATATTACATTTTAATTCAAATTAAAAATTTAAAGCTCGAATTAAAAATTTAAACCAAGACTTTTATTATTATTCTATTGATTAATTTCTATTTATTTAACCATGAGGTCTAATACGACAAAACTTGTGACTAGGAAACATTCTTCTAATCATGATGATCACTGGAGGCCTTTTTTTCTTTCCAGTTGATAAGATCACTTTGACAAATGGCAATTTGCTCCTTTATTAAGAAATGGACGGGTTAAGGAATAAGGATCAAATCCTTCCCCAAATTAACGACGTTTGTTTATTATATTCGTTCTTAATTTTGAATTATAATTTATAATTTTTTATAATATTTTTTTTATAAAAAATACACATAAAATGAGAATAATTTTAAATTATAATTCTGAATATATAAACTAAACGTCATCTAAATTTTCTATTAACCCCATAAAATATATTAGGACAAAATGAGACTAATATAGGTCTATATTTTTACTCTCTATTTTTAATTAATATTCTTTTTAGTTGGTTAAAAAGATATCTATCAATAATATGAAATAAAAATTTAAATTTATACACTCTAAAAGTAAGTTTAGTAATTTTTTTTATAATTAGCTAATAAGCTCTTCTGTTTGTTTTCATTTAGCATTTCAATGCTGTTTTTTTTTTTTTTTCAGTTAATGGTAAGCATCCGAATGTTGCTTAGGGTTGACTAGTCAAAACGCGCGTGAATAAAATAATGGTTATACAAATTGTATGAAAAAAGGAAGAAAAAAAAAGAATAAAAGAAATAAAGACAAAAATGAGAAAAAAGATTTAAAGCAAAAGACACCGGAGAAAAGAAAAAAAAACTTAAGAAAAAAATTTATGCAAAGTGGGTCGCACACTCTCACATATTTGAGAATAAATTAATTTAGCAAGATAACTTGAAAAAAATGATATTTTATATAACCGTAAAAAAAGTATTTAAAGGGATATATTTGAAAAATTATAAAAATTAAAGGTTAAAAAATGTAATAAAAAAAGATAAGAGATGAAAAATAAAAGAAAAAGAAAAACTCAAAAAAATAAAGAAAAAGAGAGCTGAAAAAAAGAATTCTGTGAAACTGTTTTATTTAACCTTTTTCTTTTCATGTCCTTTTTTTAATTTAAAAAAAAACCTAATCCTACACTTTAAGATAAATCCGTTAAATTAAGCTTGCATCTACTTTCATGTCATCTTTAATTAATCAATTCTTCACTTAACTACGACAATACCCCAATACGGACTTAACTACCAGCTTTTGTTAATATTTGACCCTATCCAATTATGATAGCGGTCTTATATTATGTAGTCATATGTTACATATAATAGTTTAGTGTTTAAGAACAGGATATAGAATATTAAAAACTACTTCAAATGAATTACTTTTTGCTTGAGGAGTAAGCTAAAATAACTACTTAATAAAAAGTGAAGTTGATGTAAAATATAACTTGTAAAATATTTATTCTATGGCTTCAAAAAAATGATAAATAACTTGTAAGTTTACTTTGATGTATTATGCCAGTTAATAAAAAGACTACATTAGGTATAATTTGAAGGTGATGTAAAATATTTATTCTACTTCTTACAAAATAAGTGAAAACAAAAGTGAAGATTGAAAAAATACAGCTTCTCAAAGTCAAAATAACTATCAAACTAGTACTCCTTGATTAAAATATGAAATATATATGGTGCTTTCCACTAGTACGGTATAAGTTTTGTGTTCGTCAACAATCAAACATAATAATATGGAAAAGTCATAGGAGACACTACAAGAAAAGGAGCTATTAGTGACGATAAAAAGTCGTTGTCAAAGATAGAAAGTCGTCGTAAATAAATTTTTAGCGACTAATTGTTGTTGCAAATTTATCGCTGCAATTCAATCATGACAAAAACAACTTTTGCGACAACAGCTTGTCGTCGCAATTATATTTGCGGCGATAATCGTCGCAAATGAGTCGCTGTAATTATTTCATCGGTTACATCGTTAAGATGACATGACATTAAGTATTTGCGATGACATTTTTTGAATTAAGTCGTCGCAAAATATGCAGACTTAGCTAACGTGGCTTATATTTTTTGCGACCACATTTGTCATCACAAATAATATTTTAATTTTTTATTTATTTTATCATTTTAGTAATTATAATAAATATAATTCATGATATTAAATATAAATAAAAATTAAATAAAAGGAAATAAATAATAAAAAATAAAAATAAAAATTATTATTGTAAAAAGTAATTAATAAAATAAAATAAAATTGTAATTATAGTATAAATGTTCGGAAATACAAATTGTTACATTAATAAAAATCTAATCCCCTAAATTAGCAGCATCACTAGAATTATCGTTGTTATCATTAGAAAGATTCAGAGGCGGATGACCTGGACGGACATACGGCACAAGAGGAGTAACCGCTGGGAAAGTCATGTTGGGGTGCATTTGATTGATGAAATCTTGCATCATTCTAACGCTCTCGTACAGCTGGAGGTTTTGCTAGTACTTCTGTTGTAAGTATTCTTCTATGTGTGGGTCAGAACATGTTGTAGAGGATATTACCGAGCGTGAGCCAGATAACGACGCATCCCCTCGATAAACTTTTTGTGAGAGTGTGCGACCCACTCCAGTCGTGTGCCTTCTGCGGGTGCCCAGAAACTGCTCCATAATATCCTCATCGTTAACTGTTCCTACTGCGGATGATCCAGAAGTAGCAGACTGCGTCTGGATCTGCGTTTCTCTTTTTCTCTCCATCCGATGCTACAAATATTATAAGAAAAATAATTAAATACATAATGTGATTTAAGAAAAAAAATATAATTAAACATTACGAGTATACTTACAAAAGTCTACTTAGCTTGGGGATTAACCCAAGTATCCCCACGACGATGCATGTCCCCCTCAATTATCGATGACGAACAACGGTTGTTGAGTCCCTATGGTAGACTATATAGTAGTTTAAATGTATATGAATATAGTGTAATCGATTATCAAATTAACATTTATATTGGATAAATTATTAACAAATACTTACTTTCTTCATGCGATGTTGGCAGTACGACAGCCGACCATGAAAACTCGATCACTTTTGGTTGCTACGATTAAGTTTATTGATCCCTGACTTTTCTATTTATGATTACATTCAGCGTTAGTAAAATTAACCTTTATTATATATTTTATAAAAACAACATATAAAATAGATTCAATTACCTGAAACTTGTCGGACATGAATCTATTGCAGCAACGACCCCAGTGATCTAGATTCGTGAGGTTTTTGAAAGGGTGGGCCTTAACTGCACTCTCATTTTGTGAACAACCAAGATCTTTAAAATAGTCATGGAGGTCACTTTTTCAATCCTTATAACATTTTACAGCCTCCCTGTCGACCATAGACCTAAGTATACCATCATCGCGGTCATAATCGAGGTTGAACCATTCCTTTAATACAATATAAACATGTTAAATGATTTTATTATATTGAAATTTAGATTAAATTAAAAAATAATAAAGTTAAATAATTTATACCAACAAGCGCTGCTGAATCTCTCTCTTATGCTGGATGTCCACGTCCTTCCAGGCATCATGGAAAGGCTCAGTAGCTTCAACATTTCATCCATGCATTCATTAGGCCACTTGTACAACACTTTTAGATGCATTAGTTTCACTAAGAAATTCAACGATGAATACTTAGTACAACCCGGATAAAATCTGACTTGGAGCTCAGATAAGAGATCTCTAAATTCATCGTAATGTATATCTTTTATAACTGTTTCTGTCTCACCCATTGTCTCGTGATCATCACTAATCTCAGTCACATCATTTAGCATTGCAAACATCTCGTCAACAGGTTCACTGACAACTGC